CATCGCTCCTCTATTTCACAGTTACATTAACACCGTTCCTTCATTTCACAGTTACATTAACATCGTTCCTTCATTTCACAGTTACATTGTATAGCGTTCCTTCATTTCACAGTTACATTGTATAGCGTTCCTTCATTTCACAGTTACATGTTCATCGCTCCTCTATTTCACAGTTACATTAACATCGTTCCTTCATTTCACAGTTACATTGTATAGCGTTCCTTCATTTCACAGTTACATGTTCATCGTTCCTTCATTTCACTGTTACATTAACATCGTTCCTTCATTTCACTGTTACATTAACATCGTTCCTTCATTTCACAGTTACATTGTATAGCGTTCCTTCATTTCACAGTTACATTGTATAGCGTTCCTTCATTTCACAGTTACATGTTCATCGCTCCTCTATTTCACAGTTACATTAACACCGTTCCTTCATTTCACAGTTACATTAACATCGTTCCTTCATTTCACAGTTACATTGTATAGCGTTCCTTCATTTCACAGTTACATGTTCATCGTTCCTTCATTTCACTGTTACATTAACATCGTTCCTTCATTTCACTGTTACATTAACATCGTTCCTTCATTTCACAGTTACATTGTATAGCGTTCCTTCATTTCACAGTTACATTGTATAGCGTTCCTTCATTTCACAGTTACATGTTCATCGCTCCTCTATTTCACAGTTACATTAACATCGTTCCTTCATTTCACAGTTACATTGTATAGCGTTCCTTCATTTCACAGTTACATGTTCATCGTTCCTTCATTTCACTGTTACATTAACATCGTTCCTTCATTTCACAGTTACATGTTCATCGTTCCTTCATTTCACTGTTACATTAACATCGTTCCTTCATTTCACAGTTACGTTGTACATCGTTCCTTCATTTCACAGTTACGTTGTTCATCGTTCCGTCATTTGACTGGTACATTGTTCATCGTTCAGTCATGTTCTTGTTCTTTTACATTGTACATATGTGCTTCTTTCCACTGTTCTTCAGTTACATTGTATATTGTTGCTTCATTTGAGTGTTCTTACATCGTACAGCGTCATTACATTTTACTTCTATTGTATTGTTCATCGTCGCTTCATTGCATTGTTCCACTTTTTGTATATCGTTGCTTCATTTCAGTGTTCTTACATCTTACATCGTTACGTCAGTATATTGTTTTATTCTGGCACTGTGCGCCGTTGCTATTTTACATTGTTCTTCTTTACAATGTATAATGTTGCTTCATTACAATGTTCTCCTTTTGTATCATTTCTTCATATACAGTTCTATATTTTATATAGGCTTGCTTCATTTCACTGTTCTTCTATATATCGTTCCTTGATTTAAATCTTCTGTATTAAGTGAGCTTACATCTGCCACGTTGGTTCGTCATCCATCGTCTATCGACAATATCATATTCCCTGAAAACACTGTACGATGCTGAAACTTCGACCGCTTATTCATATAAATTATGACCCACAATTTTGTTCAAATGGTTCTAATCCAATTTTCAATATCGCTGTCAGCCAATCTGAGTTTTAGTTGGTTATTATTCAATGAAATATAATTTTGTAAATATGCAGTTAAACGTGGAACACGTTTATTGCGATATTGTAAAAGTTTGACCTTGCTTTGACGTTTGTAATTTGATCACTCTCTCATTTCGTTCAAAATGCTTTCTAAGCCTCACAAATCACTGGACTAATGACGCTGAAACTTCACAAGCTTGTTCCCAACAGTGACAACATTTACATATGTTCAATAACTTTGATCCAATTTTCACTGTGGCCGCCACAGCAGTCATAGTTAAAACACCTACATTAAGTCGTCACTCACTCATTATTGTTAAAAATATAATAACAATTGCTGTGTGTCATGTAATTGTTCCGTTGTTTGCCATATGATATATTTTTCCTTTGATTAGAACTTGACCATGCCCCTCATTGTTGACATCATCTCCCCAAACGCCACGGGACCAAACAAACGAGATCTTCACCTTCTGTTTTCGCAAATATTCACGGCTTTATTTGTTCATGGGGCCCGAGTCAGATTTTTAAGATGGCCGCCATGGAAGCCATGCTGACTTACCTTTTATTGGCCATGAACCCGTCATTTGTCTTCAAAAGGTAATAAATTTATGTATGAATTGTTGAGGAACTCACAACATATTTTTGTATTTAACCATATTTAATCTTTTGATTTGACCATACTCTGTAAAAGACATGTTCTGTCAGGATAATTTCCCCTAAAACTGCCAGGGAGGAAACTTTGTCATGTGTACTGTAACGAGTGATGATATCATTGTATATTCAAATGATTTTGATTTTGTTGTTAAATGTTTGTTAAAATTAAGAAAGGACCCACAAAGATTGGAAAGCTGAATCATTGCGTGCACAATAGTGACTATAAGAGGATTCCATGAAAGACGTGTCACATCAGTAGACGAAGACGATGTTGCAAAGACATTTTTTACTATATTTCTCAGGATCTATTAAACCAGATTTATTTAATCTTAGCATGAATGTTTGTCTTCATAAAAAGATTGAATCGTTTTGAAAACAACAAAAACAATAGAATTGATTAATGCGAAAAAGTCTTTTGCAAGTTATTTTGAAAAACATGACTTGTTTCATATTTATAATGTAATCCTCATTATGTACACAGAACAGACTTGGATATCATTGCTGACATTGTCTTTGTTGACATTACTTATCTAGTTAAGCTGCAGTGCCATGGTACTATCTTTTAGACATCGCTTTCATGGTCAATGCTGCTTGCTGATTTTTTTAAACCTGTTTCTACTGTCAAAACGTTCGAAATCAGTAAATATCAGACGGCTTCAAATACTTTGCTACTTGCTCAAAATCAAAGCTACTTCAAGCTCTCAAAAACATTAGCATATTCATTTCAAGATAATATTTCATCGTTATGTTGAGAGATGTATGTTTCAGGTTCAGGTCCATAGAAATGATCGATCAGAAATTAGTTATTCTATTCATGGCTGCCAAATCTAGTAGCCGTTGGTTGTGTTGGGACTCCAATGGCTTCTGTAAAAAAGATCCGTGCTCATAGACAAATCATTTCATAAAATAAATCTTCGTTGTTTGGCAGTTAATGGTTGAGAAGCATAAATGAATGCTTTTGGTGAAGATTGTTTTCTCAATCAATACTTCTCTGTTACTGCAAGTATATTGCAAGCGTTCCTGATTGTTAAGTGTAATGCTGGTTAGTTTTCGTTCCAGCATTACCATCAATCACAGTCTGATCTTTTCACATCTCTTTTCAGTCACATTGTGATCTTATGTTACCTTGTTGTTCCATCACATTGTGATCTTATGTTACCTTGTTGTTCCATCACATTGTGATCGTATGTTTCCTTGTTGTTCCATCACATTGTGATCTTATGTTACCTTGTTGTTCCATCACATTGTGATCGTATGTTTCCTTGTTGTTCCATCACATTGTGATCTTATGTTACCTTGTTGTTCCATCATATTGTGATCGTATGTTACCTTGTTGTTGCATAACATTGTGCTCCTTTGTTACCTTGTTGTTCCAACACATTGTGATCTTATGTTACCTGGATATTCCATCACCGTGTGTCAAATGTTAAAAGTAGTCCCTGGGCGTGTACATTAATCATAATCTACCCTATTTCTCTTGCTCAAATTATACTCCCATCACATCATTCTCCTATTACAGTGCCCTCCCATCACATCAATCTTCTTTTACAATGCCCTCCCATCACATCATTCTTATATCACAATATCCCCAATCATATCATTCTTATATCACAATATCCCCAATCATATCATTCTTCTATTACAATGTCCCCCATGAAAACATTCTCCTATTACAATGCCCTCCCATCACATCATTCTTATATCACAATGTCCCCAATCATATCATTCTTCTATTACAATGTCCCCCATCAAAACATTCTCCTATTACAATGCCCTCCCATCACATCATTCTTATATCACAATGTCCCCAATCATATCATGCTTCTATTACAATGCCCCCAACACATCATTCTTCTATTACAATGCCCTCCCATCACATCATTCTTATATCACAATGTCCCCAATCATATCATTCTTCTATTACAATGTCCCCCATCAAAACATTCTCCTATTACAATGCCCTCCCATCACATCATTCTTATATCACAATGTCCCCAATCATATCATTCTTCTATAACAATGTCCCCCATCAAAACATTCTCCTATTACAATGCCCTCCCATCACATCATTCTTATATCACAATGTCCCCAATCATATCATGCTTCTATTACAATGCCCCCAACACATCATTCTTCTATTACAATGCCCTCCCATCACATCATTCTTATATCACAATGTCCCCAATCATATCATTCTTCTATTACAATGTCCCCCATCAAAACATTCTCCTATTACAATGCCCTCCCATCACATCATTCTTATATCACAATGTCCCCAATCATATCATTCTTCTATAACAATGTCCCCCATCAAAACATTCTCCTATTACAATGCCCTCCCATCATATCATTCTTATATCACAATGTCCAAAATCATATCATGCTTCTATTACAATGCCCCCAACACATCAATCTTCTATTACAATGTCCTCTAAATTATTTTACTGTTACAAAGTACGTCTTTAGCAGTGGTCCTGTATCACATTGTGCTCTGTTATTAACGTTGTGACATCACTGCTCTTCAAATACCACGATTCTTGTATCATGTCTTCTTCTATCACATTTTTCATTTATTACATGTGAATGTTTTAGCTCTTATACAAAATTAGTTCTTTTTGATACATTGTTCTCCCATTACATCGTTCTCCTGGTAGGCGATTACATTATTCTCCCAGTTCATTATGTGTTAATATTGTTCTTTACTTCCGCTCGCAGCCCTTGGATTTCAACAGCAGCAGCTCCCGTTCTTCCCTTTCACGTTATAATGTTTTTCCTTCTTCTGCATTCGTGTGATCTCATATTCACTTTCTCATTCTAGGAATGAACATTTTTCTCGCATTCTTCGTGCTGCTGCTACTACTGGCTGACTCGACGCCGAAAGCTGCAGCATCTATACCTCTTATAGGTGAGTGGGATTTGGCACTGTCATATACTTCTACAGGGGGCGTTTGGAGAGTGACGTGGATCTTCCAGGGTACAGTTCGTCCAGAGTAGACTTTGATTGTGGAAAGAGTCAGCTAAGATGGATGGTCTGGTCAAGTTCCGTGACTTGCCATCGCGACTCAATTTTGAGGATGGTTGCTCATATTCGCAGTCTCTAGTTTATCACCTCCTGGCTTGAATTTGTAAGGACCGTCGTGATATGACTTGGAAACTGGTGACTGCTTCGATATGAAAATGAGTATATTTATGATGTGCTAGTTTCCACACACGTGTAAGCTCAATGCTTAAACATCATTCACACACCATTTATTTATTTATGTGTGTGTGTGAGCAAGTGGTGGGATGACATATGTCCAATTAGGTGTTTGGAAAGTGGAATATGTGTGCAATTAGCAGTTGAGAGAGTGATATATACTAGTGTGTACAACCAGTAGTTGGGAGAGTGATATATACTAGTATGTGCAACTAGCAGTTAGGTGAGTGATATATACTAGTATGTGCAACTAGCAATTGGGAGAGTGATATATACTAGTATGTGCAACTAGCAGTTGGGAGAGTGATATATACTAGTGTGTACAACCAGTAGTTGGGAGAGGGATATATACTAGTATGTGCAACTAGCAGTTGGGAGAGTAATATATACTGTATGTGCAACTAGCAGTTGGGAGAGTGATATATACTAGTATGTGCAACTAGCAGTTGGGAGAGTGATATATGCTAGTATGTGCAACTAGCAGTTGGGAGAGTGATATATACTAGTATGTGCAACTAGCAGTTGGGAGAGTGATATATACTAGTATGTGCAACTAGCAGTTGGGAGAGTGATATATTCTAGTATGTGCAACTAGCAGTTGGGAGAGTGATATATACTAGTATGTGCAACTAGCAGTTGGGAGAGTTATATATACTGTATGTGCAACTAGCAGTTGGGAGAGTGCTATATACTAGTATGTGCAACTAGCAGTTGGGAGAGTGCTATATACTAGTATGTGCAACTAGCAGTTGGGAGAGTGATATATACTGTATGTGCAACTAGCAGTTGGGAGAGTGATATATTCTAGTATGTGCAACTAGCAGTTGGGAGAGTTATATATACTGTATGTGCAACTAGCAGTTGGGAGAGTGCTATATACTAGTATGTGCAACTAGCAGTTGGGAGAGTGCTATATACTAGTATGTGCAACTAGCAGTTGGGAGAGTGATATATACTGTATGTGCAACTAGCAGTTGGGAGAGTGATATATTCTAGTATGTGCAACTAGCAGTTGGGAGAGTTATATATACTGTATGTGCAACTAGCAGTTGGGAGTGTGATATATACTAGTATGTGCAACTAGCAGTTGGGAGAGTGATATATACTAGTATGTGCAACTAGCAGTTGGGGGTGTAATATATACTGTATGTGCAACTAGCAGTTGGGAGAGTGCTATATACTAGTATGTGCAACGAGCAGTAGGGGGAGTGATATATACTAGTATGTACAACTAGCAGTTGGGAGAGTAATATTTACTAGTATGTGCAACTAGCAGTTGGGAGAGTGATATATACTAGTATGTGCAACTAGCAGTTGGGTGAGTGATATATACAGTAAAGTACGGTTATAACGAACTCAAAGGGACTACTAATTTTAGTTCGTTATAACCGTAGTTCGTTATAAGCATATGTACAGCATAACTACAGCAAATAGTCGGGACCAACAAAGTAAGTTTACTGTACTAGTTAGTGCAACTAGCATATGGGTGAGTGATATATACTAGTATGTGCAATTAGCAGTAGGGAGAGTTGAATATAGGTGTTATTGCGCATTTCAGAGAGTAGAATATATCTTCTATATATTTTGCAGTGTAATTAAGTACATATATATTTGAGAATTAAATCTCTTATCGCAATTCATCGCTTTTGTGTCGATGGAAAAATATTTCTTAATGAACAATTCACTGTAACCGATAAGAGTAAAGTTATGCAATTGTGAAAATATGAAGTATAAATTAACTAAATTGATATCAGCCTATCTAACCATTCCGACAGATGATACTAGAGACGGTATGGCGTATAACAGAAGGATATATGTAACCTGGTGACCCAGTCGGACTTCGGAACGCCCAGTCTCCAGACTACACCAGGCTTATGGTAGCTCTTCGCAAGTAGTACAGGAAATGATAGAATATCCTTATTCGTGTGTGTTCTATACAATATCAATTTTGGCCAGAATGAGGAAACGTTGTGGATCCTGTCCGGGACATGATATTTCCTGGTCTGGCGATCTCCTGGTGGCAACCTTCAGCAGATCACGGATGCAGGGAATTATGCTTAAATCTTACTTTCATGAATATCACGATGGGGTAATGTTCGGATCAGCATTACTATGTTTTCCTTCAGTTGCGTGGTTGAGTGTTAAAGCATACGGTGGAAGTATGTTTTAATATAAATATATATATCATCTGGTGTTACCGCGCAGGGCTTGTGTGCTGTTTTATCCTCATAAGCCACTCTGAGATCGCTTGACAGACGTTGCTGATTGTTTATGTGGGTATTCCCCTGGTGAATATTTCTTAATGTTTGTTCAGGACAATAAATTTCAAATTTCAATATTGCTGCTGTGCGGCCTTGCTGGAAACTTTATATTGATATATTTAACGACTCGAACGGTGTACTGTGTTTGTTGGAATTCAGGCAGGCGATTGAAAATTTGAAATTGGCCATGCCCATTTCCGTTTGTTTCTTTCTTTCACGCTGCTTGTTGGCGGTATTACAGCATCTATGCCACGGCGGCCCATGAATGGTCGAATCTTGGCCAAAAAACAACAGTTGTTGATATGACAAGCATACTCCAACGCCGTGGGGGTGCAGTGATGCTCAATTATCAAATGCATGGAGCTTGACCTTCAGGTGCAGTTTAGTCGCCTCTTACGACAAGCATAGGATGCTTGGTGTCAATTCAACCTCGGAATCCCCACGGGTTCGAAGTAGCCAATAGGTGTCAGTTCTCCGGTGACTAACCACACTGTCAGTGTCAGAATTATGTCCAGAGTCTGAACCAGACAATCCAGTAATTGACATCATGAGCATAGATCCACGAAATTTGGATACGATGACATGCATCAACCAAGTCTGACCTCCCAGTCAAGTTAGTCGCCTCCTACGACATGCAGAACAAGCATGGGTTACTGAAGACCAATTCTAACCCGTATAGTCACCGGAAGAGGGGGTGATGGAGAAAAACATTGGTTGCTGATGCAGGGGGAGGGGGGGGGGAGGGGGAGGGACACAAACATGGGTTGCTGATGCACTGTCATGGAGGTACACTCTATGATGATGTTGTATTTTGGCCGACCGTGGTCTAGGTACTGATGAAGTGTTTTTTAATGAGGGTTGCTGAGGTTTATGGGAAGCTATGTCACAAATGGCTCAAGTCCATCTCAATGGTGCCAACGTTTGACTAATGAGTATGCCATGGTGATTAATGAGATGATCTGCAATGTAATTGTCGTGCTTGGGATAATTCAGGCTTGTTTTATGTCACGAGGCCGATCTCATATCCGGGTTCCGACTCGGTCTGTGCATCGGTGGACAATTCATCCTCCAACTTCAGGTTGGAAATCTGAACGTCTGAAGCTCAAAACTTTTAGTCGCTCTTTTTAATCCGATTTTCAAGTCAAAAAGCTCGAAATCACCTTATTTGCTATAGCAATAACAATAACCTTTATGTCCTAATTGAAATACAGAACAACAAAAGACCTGTTCAGCTCGTGTTGCCGCCGTAAGTCAAACATCGTTACTGACATTTTTGCATTCATTCATGTTTGTAAATTCCTGGAAGCGGAAATCTGAAACTCGTCCTCTGATCCCCGAGCAAAAAGGTATTCAAATCTACTTATCCTAAATCAAAGAAGTTAGTTCGTTTGATTGAAACGCGTTTCATAAAAAAAACATCGTACTTATCTTCAATGTTCCTACCCGACTCAACCACCTCACAGTCTCCACCACCTCACACCCCGTCCCCCACCTCACACCCCGTCCAACACCTCACACTCCGTCTCCACCACATTCCATCCCGTCTCCACCACCTAACACCCCGTCTTCACCACCTCACACCCCGTTTCCACCACCTCACACCCCTTCCACCACCTCACACCCCGTTTCCACCACCTCACACCCCTTCCACCACCTCACACCCCTTCCACCACCTCACACCCCGTCCACCACCTCACACCCCGTCCACCACCTCACACCCTGTCTCCACCACCTCACACCCCGTCCACCACCTCACACCCCGTCCACCACCTCACACCCCGTCTCCACCACCTCATACCCCGTCTCCACCACCTCACACCCCGTCTCCACCACCTCATACCCCGTCTCCACCACCTCACACCCCGTCCACCACCTCACACCCTGTCTCCACCACCTCAAACCCCGTCTCCACCACCTCACACCCCGTCCACCACCTCACAACCCGTCCACCACCTCACACCCTGTCTCCACCACCTCATACCCCGTCTCCACCACCTCACACCCCGTCTCCACCACCTCATACCCCGTCTCCACCACCTCACACCCCGTCCACCACCTCACACCCTGTCTCCACCACCTCACACCCCGTCTCCACCACCTCACACCCCGTCCACCACCTCACATCCCGTCTCCACCACCTCACACCCCGTTTCCACCACCTCATACCCCGTCTCCACCACCTCACACCCTGTCTCCACCACCTCACACCCCGTTTCCACCACCTCACACCCCGTCCACCACCTCACACCCTGTCTCCACCACCTCACATCCCGTCTCCACCACCTCACACCCCGTTTCCACCACCTCATACCCCGTCTCCACCACCTCACATCCCGTCTCCACCACCTCACACCCCGTTTCCACCACCTCACACCCCGTCCACCACCTCACACCCTGTCTCCACCACCTCACACCCCGTCCACCACCTCACACCCCGTTTCCACCACC